CAAGCTTCCCGGGTGACGTCAGCAAAGCGCTTACGCGTTACAGCTTCTGGTAAACGAACCATACACCGATTGTACCAGCCAATCAGAAGCCGTGCGGACCAGACTGAAACTGTACGACATCAAGAATATGAACATGCGATTGGTAGATGCTTGAATAACCAATGAACATTTTTTTGTACATATTATTTTATATCCATGATTTTCTTCAATAAAGGAGCTGCTATTCCTGTGAACTTTTACTTGCATCTCGGTTACGTGGGATACTGTCGCGCTGCGATTAGTGCGATCCAGTGCTTACGTGGCCTCTGTGATTTCTAATCCGTGATTCGTATGTCGTGGTCAGTATGTGCCACAACTACTACAACGTCGTTACACTGGTGCTGTTGGTGGTAGTGGGGGTGGTGGTGCAGAGACTTTTATTTGATGTGAGCCAAGACTATGGTCAGCTTATGTTCTGGTCATTTGGTCGGACGTTGGAACGATCGATTCTGACCGATTAGTAAAACTCGCGGACCTAACAAAAAGGCTTTGGTTTAATCCTTGTCTTTACAACTATAATCAGTTCGAAATGAGCTGTCTCGTGTCCTTTTATTTTTCCTAGAGTTTCTGCAGGCCATCATTGTATTGTGGAATTATTTTGCAAATTCATACAGAATAATCATTTATCATTTTATCATTTATGATGCAAAGGTGTCATAATAGCCAGAAGATATGTACTGCTAGATGAATAAAGTTTCTCTATTCTCTCCAGTTACCACAACGTAAAACAATTTGGAACGACAGGGAGGAACGATTGTGGTGATCGAAACGTCTATGCACTCTATCCTCAGGGCTTCTCTGAATGCTTAGAAGCGGGAGAACCTGGTTACGTAGTAATGGCTCGAATGACTTAACCCGATGAATGATGTTGCTTTGATTGGCCGTTGGATTGATAACTTCAGATTTCGTTTCGTACGAAGTTATTGAGCTTCGTGACCGTTTTGGAAATGTGTTCGGATATCCGTTTCGGGAAAATCCGATTGGTTCTATTCAAGTCACTAGCACCACAGCTGGCATGTACCCGACGGACGACATTCAAGGCAAAATAGCGCGGATCGTTGTGAGTGCGGTTATCCACACAAGGTTCCTTTAGGTGACGAAGATGTGAGGCAAGGAAAAGATAGATTTAAAGCGGTACCGGCGCATGTAACTGATCAGGTAATCGGTCAGGAGAAGATAAACTTTTCGGTATTTCTTCTCGTTTACACCCTATTTTCAAGCCACTTCCCAGCGATATGCCATTCCCAACTAATTCTCTATCCATCTATTTATGTATGTATGTATGTATGTATCTATCTATCTATCGTAAATCCTCCACTCTAGGGGTCCCCAGCCACACCCAGATCATCAGTGGTTTCCATCTTTGGGAGGGATTTTCGATCGAAACAATAACCTCAGCATTCAATAGGAAACAAACTGTAATGAGATCCCTCGGGGCCAAATTTAACCTTCACACCACAGCTGTACCGTTTTCAAAAATTGCCGTATCACTCAGAAATAGTTGTTTTGGCTTCCAGATTGCATTTACTGTCTTGGAACAAGGCTAGAATCACTTTCCTCTTGACCAAGAGTGAGAATTAATTGGATAGTTATCTGTTTATAGAAAAAGGTAGAAAAATGGACTACTATCACTACCTAAACAAACCAAGGCGAAATCAATCGTACTTTCAGTTTAGTAATCGATGTTTTTAACACTACAAACCAATAAAGTCTTATTGAAGATCTTCAAATAGCGGTTCAATCCAAGCGGACAGAATTAGGTTGAATACGAAAAAAACGCTCTGCAAGCCAAGCAAATACTCCATTACTAATTAGACAATGCGACAACAACCAATCACGAGGTGTTCACCTTTTTCATTGGTTATCCGAACGGACCAATCAGAACGTAGTAGGAAGTTCGGCTGTAAAATGAACGCACAGCCCGAACTGTGCATTTCGGTCCACCGATCCGGTTGAACTGTTGAGAAATGTTAGATTGAGACTGGGACAAAGAAAGATTGCGCTTTATCGTGACTCCGGATGCAGTCTCCTCGATCGGTTTGTGATCTCATATACTCGGAACCAATTGCTACCCTATTGCACACGTTCAACCATTCACAACTTTCTGCCCCGGCCAATTACACCGATTCGGAATCTTTAAACGATTTGGAAACCCTCAGTTCCCGATTTGACATATTGGATCCGGTTAGTCCACAAATATGTCAGGTCATACACGTCATTATCTATTACGTGCCTCCGGTTCTATTTATTATGGGGACATTTGGCAATGTACTATCATTTTTAGTTCTTTCCAGACGATCCGTCCTCTATCCGTCTTCCTACATCTATCTTGCTGTGCTTGCACTGGTTGACGAGTGTGTGCTCCTTGTCGGCCTGTTCCGACAATGGACCGATCGTTTGGCCGGTCGACGATTAGAAGATCGTCATTGGGTATTGTGCAAAGTGTTAAATTTTACCGGTGTCACTGCCAGTTGTCTTTCCGTATGGATTATTGTGGCGGTCACAGTCGAACGTGCCCTAGTCATCATACTACCACTGCATTCCACCCAGGCAAAACGTATGAAACGATCGAAAATCA